AATAACCCCAATAACCCCAATAACCCCAATAACCCCAATAACGATAACAGTTTTAAGCGTAAAGCTAAGTAGGAGAGTTATGAGCGCGCGAACATTTGTTTTGTAAACACTGGCCAACGAACTCCAAGAATGTTTCTATACCGAAAAAACAGGAATATACGATTATAATTCCGATCTTTTTTCCATTCGATATCTCTTATATTGGTTTTTGAGTGTGTGTGTATCAATGCGCCCGCACTTGCGCGTAAGAGCGTATGTTGGTGCGTACGTGCGTGATTTTCGACGCTTGCGCGATAGAGTGTGAGTTGGTGCGTTCGTGCGTGGTTTCCGGAGCTTGCGCGATACAGTGTGAGTTGTTACGTACGTGCATGGTTTCCGGCGCATGCGCGGTAGAGTGTGAGCTGATGCGTACCTGCGTGCGTTGGAGCGGATGAGTTTATTTCAGTGAGCCTACTTAGAGTCTCAATATATTAAGGGATAAGTTCATCATTTTTATGCTAAAGTGGCTCAATTTCATTATGAAGCCCTAAAATAATTTTCCCCAATTGAAATTATGGTAAATGAAAACGAAATTTTCATATAAACAGATGTTTAATATAAATCGATTCCATAGTGTATTCACTTATTCATAGACATAGACTCATTAACACTATAAATAATACGTTTTTAATATTTTTTTCATAAATTGTTTTTGATTATATAACATTTGGATTCGTGCTTGTAGAGCGTGTGTTTGTGCGTTCGTGCGTCATTTCCTGCGCTTGCGGGATGGAGTGTGAGGTGGTGCGTACGTGCGTGATTTCCGGCGCTTGCGCGTTAGTGAGTGAACGGCTTGGTGCGTCCGAGCTTTCCGGCCCTTGCGCGTTAGAAGGTACGCTGATTCGTGGGTGCGTGCGTTGAGGAGCATGAGTTCATTTAAGTGAGCCCATTGAGAGCCTCAATGTATTAGGGGATAAGTTCATAGTTTATATGGTACTGTGTCTCAATTTCATTATAAAGCCCAAAAACGATTTTCCCCAATAGAAATTACGTTAAGTGAAAATGATATTTTTATATTAAAACTACGGACTAATCAGCTCACATACTATCGCGCAAGCGCCAAAAATCACGCGCACACGAATCAGCTTACAGTCTAATGCGCAAGCGACAGAAATGACGGACGCACCCACCCGGTGAAAAATTAACGTGCAAGCCCGCGCGCACAAATACGCATTCATACGTACCAATCCAAACTATATTGAATCGAAAAACAATGTATGAACAAAATATTAAAAACAGATGACGTATAGTGTTAATGAGTCTGTGTATACATGAGTGAATTAGAGTTAGAGTGAGCAGTCTAGGGAAAGGTCAAGTAACAGAAATTAATTGTCCGTGTAAACCAAGTCTAAAATTCACTTAACGCAGATATAAGTGTTAGTAATTCAAAGCAAGAATAGTGCATGCTGGTGAGTAAAGGAGTCACGCCGAACATGATGCGTGTCACTCTCACTGCAAGATCAGATCAAGAATAGTGCATCCTTGTGAGTATAAGAGTCACGCCGCACGCAGTCGCTTTGCTGCGTGCAATTGTGTCCAACTCATCGCTGAATCATATTTTAAACTACGATATCGCTGTGAGTACGTTAATACACTTTATCTCTTCAATTATTGTCAGCCGGCGGCAGAACCGGCATAAGACAACCATTAATAATATCTCACACTCTCCATCAAGAAGTGTGCAGTAATTATTTACCTGTGCAATTCTTTAATTCAACGATTTCAAGGCATCTTGTGTAGTGATACCTCTTATATAAGAAGGCGATCAAGAAGTCGTATCTTCATATAAGATTCAAGAAGATTCTTCAACATCCATATGTAAATTGTGTAATAAATTGTATAATAAATATATAATTAATCAACTCTCACAACTCTTGTACAACCCCTACATCTCACTCCTTCCCGAGCGTCTGTTCAGGCGGGTGGCAAACTAAGCTATTGAAGCATTGGCAGTTCGATCCAAGAATTACATCTGTTCGGGATTGAAGCAGTCCCATGAATTTCAAACAAAAGAAAGGTCATTTACGCAGCCCGGCGTACCGCATGTGCGGCAAGACTGACCGCGCGTGCAGCAAGGCTGGCCACCACGTGCGCCTAGGCTGATCCGCACGTGCGGACCGTGGCAGGCACTCGAGAAAATGTTTACAAACAAAACTCGGCAAGTTCGAGCAAGTTTACGATTTGAAATATTATTTACTGCCAGCACTCACAAAAAAGGGACGCCTTCGAAACTTCTAGAAGCTTCGTTTTCTCACGCCAAAGGAAAATTTCTGGAAGGGACGCGCATCGACACTGTTGCCGGCGCTGAAGACGCCGCATGCACATTTAAGCGCAACGCGCCATGAGGCGACGCTCATTCGTA